CCCCTCCTCCCACAGGCCCCGCCCCTCCACCCTAGTCCTGCCCTCCTCCCCCTGGTCCTACCCCTTCCTCCTCCCTCCCCTCCTCCCACAGGCCCCGCCCCTCTGCCCTGGTCCCGCCCTCCTCCCACAGGCCCTTCCCCTTCCTCCTCCCTTCCCTCCTCCCACAGGCCCCGCCCCTCCACCCTGGTCCTGCCCTCCTCCCCCTGGCCCTACCCCTTCCTCCTCCCTCCCCTCCTCCCACAGGCCACGCCCCTCTGCCCTGGTCCCGCCCTCCTTTCATAGGCCCTACCCTTCCTCTGTCCTGCCCTCTTCCCAAGGCCCTGCTCCCTCTGCCCATGTCCCGCCCTCCGGCCCACGAGCCCCTCTTCCAGCATCTGCCTCTCCAGCCTTGCCTCTCCCTTCCAGGGCTCTGCCCCTCCACTCCCCACCGCTCCTATCCGCCAGCCGTCCTCTGGTCCTGCCCTCTCCCCACTAGCCCTACCCCTCACCCGCAAGCCCCACCCCAGCCCTGCCCCTTGCACCTCTTTCTGCAGAAGAACGAGTACCTGCTCACCGTGGTGGCGGAGGAGAGGGATGTGCTACTGCTCGGCCTGCGGTACTCGTCCACCCATCTGCACTTCCTGTTCCTCAGCGAGGACACGGCCGGCGCCTGGCAGACCCGCGTGTCCTTCCGCAGCGCCAGCCTCATGGACAGCCAGTGGCACACGCTGGTCTTGGCAGTATCTGCAGGATCCTTTTCCCTCATCATGGACTGCGGCCTCCCGGTGGACATGTAGGTAGCAGGACATGGGGTTTGCCAGGGTTCTCACTGTGTGCTGTGCCTGACCAGCCCATCCCAGTGGCCACCTGGCTGCACCTTGCTCTGTGCTGAGGGCCTGGGCCCAGGAGCAAACCCACTCCTACCCCCGCTCCAGTGGGCCTGGCTGGTCCCTAGTCAGGCCAACTTGTGAGGAATGCTGTTAGGAGCTGTCCCCTCAGAGGGTCACCACTGAGAGGCTTTTGGCCAGGGCTGTCACTATGGCTGCCCTCTAAAGGGCCACAGCAGGTGGGGGCCAGGGAGACTGGACAGAGGAGAGCTGGGGCCGGCTCTGCTGGGCAGGCAGGAAAGGACAGCTAGCTAATGCAGGGAGGCTGTGGGCCTGGTGGGTAGGATGTGCACCCAGCATCCAGGATACACGCTGTATGGTGTGAATCCGTGTTTTCACCTTAAACCACAAAACTCACTGCTCGTCAGAGAACCAGGGGCTTAAAACCAGGTAGAGATCATCACACCACGTGGCTCTCCTCTTTCTGGACCTAGCTGAGGGTCACAGGCAGGGGAATGTGCCGAGTGTCCCTGACATTATTGAGGTGGCGGAGGAAGTCAGGAGCTCAGCACCAGGCCCCGCCTGGCCTCTGGCTTAAATATGGCACCTTCCTCGTCCAGGATGAGGGAGTAGCTCACAGAACCCCAGGCAAACGTGCTACAGTGTCCACCGCAGCTTTGCATATGACCAGGGCATTTGGCAGCCTGACCATTTCTCTCCCTTGGCCATGTGACCTGATGGTAGGCACACGGGCCTGGGGAGCACCCGTCCCCAGGCTCTGCCAGCTGATGTGACCTGTGACACCCTCAGCAGCCATAGCTGCAGAGGGACTGGCAGTCTAACTTCAAATGATCCCATGTGTATTAAATCTGTACTCTCTTCCCGTTTTGTTGTTATGGAATTTACTTCGTAGTAAGAAGAACCTGTGACCTTTTCAGGTGTAGTTTTAACACAGCTTACCTCCCACCTTCCCCCAAAATTCATTTGTGCTCTTAGTAGGGCAATGACATCTTGGGTCTCTAAGAGCCAAGAAGCCCATTCCCTGGTCACTCTCAGGCAGCCAGGGCCTTACAGAGAGACCCTGCACGGCCTAGGTGGACCTGGATCAGCACTGGCTCCCCCGGCAGAAGAAAGCTGGCTTGGCTAGACCGGAGCCTCACCTGCCCTCTGGGTTTGCCCAGCACCTGGGAGCGAGGGGACACCCCTGATGTGCAGCAGAAGGGGTTCAGGGCCAAGCCCAGCAAGAGGCACTCCCTCCCCAGAGGGGCCTCAGGCAGGACTCTCTGCTGGGGACTCTGGGAAGGGACTCGAAGCCTGAGCCTGTTTCCCAGGAGTGGCCAGGAGCCAGTGGGACCCTGCAGGCCGAGGCCTGGTGGGCAGCTCCTGTGCTGCATCCTCACCGCTCTGTCCCTCCCGGCTCATCAGTCGTGAGGCCCTGGTGCCACGAGGGCCCCTGGAGGCCTGCCGCCCGTCGAGCAGCAAGAACAGCTGTGAAGAAGGGTGCAGGAGGCCTGGCCAGGGCAGTGGGGCTGCAGGGTGGGGTGCCTGTGGCCATGGAAGACTTGAGCCCTCAGGTCACCACCGAGTGCCAGGCGCAGGGTCCCAGAGCCTGCGGAGGCTGGGCTGTGTGCTGAGAACGGGCTTCTGGGGCAGCAAGCCAGAACTGGCCTCACCCCCGAGCTGCAGCTCCATGGCTACAACCAGAAGGTTGTAGTGGACCACAGCTGTGAGCCCTGAGGACACCCCTGCTTTCCCACCATGGGCTCTGGCCACACTGTCCCCTCCACTGGGTGCCCACCTTCCTGCCTCCCGAGTTCAGCCCTGGCTCCCCAGGAAGTGATTCCAAGCCTGTGCATGGGTCACATGCTCTGGGGAGTGTGGGTGGGCTGGGGACCTAGTGCAGTAGAAGCCACTGGAAGTTCACCCTGAGATGGTGAACCTCTGGGCATCTCTTCTCCATGAGCTTCATGGGAGACCCTTGTCCCCAAATTCTTGTCACCTGGCGCCTGTGAGTGCCTTCTGTGGAAGCAGGACTTCTAGTCACGTCTCCATGAGGTCGTCCTGGGTCCGGGCGGCTCCTTACGGGGAGACAGAGATGCAGGGAAGAGATAGTGAAGGAGGGAGACAAACTGGAGAGACGCAGCCACCAGCCAGGGAGCCCAGGGCCACCGGGGCTGGACGGGGGGAGGGCAGTCCTCCTCGGAAGCATGGAGAAAGCGCAACCTGCAACAGCTGGACCTCGGCCTCCGGCCCCCAGACCGAGAGCCACATTTCTGTGCGTCAAGCTGCCGCCCGTGGCCCTTGTCATGGCACTGAGGACGGTGGTGCTCCTCTCACACGGGCTCACCTTGCCTTCTGTAAACACACGGAGGACGTCCTGCGCTTCTCCAGCCCTGAGACCATCTTCTGATGCTTGCAGAATGGCTGACGTGCCCTTCCCGGCCACCCTTTCAGTGCGAGGGGCCCGGGTCTTTGTTGGCAGCCGGAGGAGGACCAAAGGCTTGTTCACGGTGAGTGTGGAGGGCTGCCTCCCCCCAGGGCTCAGGGGCTGTCCCACGTCTGTGCTGTGAGGCTGTGACTAGAAGATTGTCCTCTGCCCTGATGGAGCAGGGTCCGAGGTGTGGTGAGGCACCTGGGCCCTCCTGCCGCCCACAGCCCCTCTGCTCTGATAAGGTGCCTCCACGTGCCCCCTGCGCCTCCCCGTGCTGTCTGGGGGCCTCATTCCTCCAGAGCCGTGTCCACAGCGTCTGGAAGCCTGCTGGCGCATGGCAGGTGCTCTGTGAAAGTCTACCCGTGGGTGCTGGGACGGGTGGATGAGTGGAGGGACAGGCCAGATGGGCAGGTGGACAGATGAACAGATGGCTGGCTGGACACATGCTGGGTGGATGGGTGGATAGATGAATGTGGGCAGTTGGGTGGGGACACAGGAATGGAGGGAGGGATGGACAGAAGGATGGGCAGTGTAGCCTGGTCACTCCAAGTCAGCCCATGTGGAAAGCCCTCCCTGGGTCAGCCACCTGAGAAGGTGTGCAGGTCACCACTGCTCCTGTGACAGACGTGCCCGCCCTCCTCCCGACTCTGCAGGCTAGACTCCCCACAGCCCAAGCCTCCATGGGCCTGACGGGCAAAGCCTGGCGCCCTGCCCGAGCACCCGTGAGCTCTGAGCCAGCTGCCCCCTCTCTGCAGGGCCTGGTGAGGCAGCTGGTCCTGCTGCCGGGCTCGGATGCCACCCTGAGGCTGTGTCCCAGCAGGAATGCCCAGCTGGCCGAGCTGTCCATCCCCCGGGTGCTGCAGGGGAAGCCGGGTGATAACGAGGTGCTGAAATACCCGTATGGTGAGTAGCGAGGCCAGTGCCCCCACTCCACGGGAGACACCCCAGAGCCTCGGCACCGAGTCGGGGCTCCCAGTGCAGCCTTTCCCAGTTCTCGCTTCTCCACGGCAGGAGGGTAGCTGTCAGGTTGGCAGAGAGAGCACTCAGGCCCCTGCCCCAGGGGCACCAGACAGGCCAGCACGTCTCCCTTCTCTCCAGGGCCCCTGCCTGGACAAACCATCGCCCCTCCTGGGGACCCCCCAGCCGACGGCAGACTCTGCTCCTGGGAGAAGGGCTTTCCCCTGCAGAGCCCTGAGCCACGCTGGAGCTGGTTCCCACCCCTCTGTCCAGCAGCGTCCCCAGCCCCGCCCCGCCAGGACCCCGCTCTCGAGGCGCACCTTGTTTTCACGAGCCCAGCCGGGCGTCTCCTGGGTGTGCCGCCTCCAGGTGGACTGGCATCATCTGGTGTCGAGTTGAAAGCTGGCCTGTTCATTAGAATGTCACTCTGCCAGGTCCCCAAGGTGCTGTGGGAGGAAGTGGGGTGGGGCAGCCTGGCCCCGAGGCTCGGGGTTCACAAGGCAGGGAGCCGCACCCAGCAAGTCCTGGGAGCCACCACGCCCAGCTGCCGCACAGACATCCACGGAAAGCCGCGAGGCAGCTGGATGAGCTTGGCGCCAGCCAGCTGTGGTCAGCAGCATGGTGAGGTCAAGTGCTGAGCCAAGCTGCGCTGTAGTCAGCTGACTGGAGCCCAGGGAGGCAACCCGAGGGCAGACAAACCAGTGCCGGTTACCCAGGGCTCCCAGAGGGCACGGGCAAAGGGACAGAGAGCCAAGCCTTGGGTGGACAGAGGGCAGGCCCGCTGGTGGCACGGGGAGCGTCGCAGTGTCCTGCCATGCAGGAAGCCTGGGGTGCACCTCCGTGCTGGGGAGCCCACCTGTGATGTGGCCGCAAGACGTCCAGGAGCCCCTTCAGCCGGGTGCAGAGGCGGGGCAGGACCCCCTGGTGGCCCTGCATCCTCCTGAGGGAGCCTGTGCACGGACATGCCTCCTCCTGGTTCCCCCTCAGAGGCAGACATGAAGGTGACGCTGGGGTCCCGGCCACCGTGCACCAAGGCACAGGATGCCACGTTCTGGTTTGACGCTGCCAGGAAGGAGCTGCACCTGTGTGCCAGCAGCCAGTGGGTCTCTGTGTTAGCAGGTGAGGCCGGGCCGGGGACTCGGGTGTCCCTGTCCCACGGTGCCCTGCGCATGCGGGGGTCTCCAGCAGGAGGTGACCAGGGAGGGAAGAAGTGAAGGGTGAGCACCTGGACCAGGCTGGGACACCTGGGAGCAAGTGAGTGGAGGGGACCTAGGAGTGACCCTGGGAGCAGGTGGCAGCAGGACTCCCAGGCAGGCCAGGGCAGGCCCTCCCTGAGGCCAAGCGTGCCCACCTGGGCTGTCCTCAGAGCCCACCTTGCTCAGGATAGAACACTGACCCCCACAAGGAGCTTCCAGCCACATATCCTGGGTGACACATGGGCCAGTGGGGCTGGACACCTCTCTTTCCAAACAGAAAGAGGGCATAGGAGGCGAGCACAGGGCCTCTGTGGCCCTGGCCTCTGGGCATCCTGGCCCTTGCCTTCCCTGTCCACTGGACCACAGGTAAAATGCAAGAGAACCAAGCACCCAGAGGTGCTGTTTGGACGTGAGCCTTTGACAGGGAGGTGAGCGGAGGCCAGATGGTTGCTCCTGGTCGGGCTGCCGCAGGAAGTGGGAGCCAGTGTCCGCGAGGTGTGTGCGCCACGGACTCTACCTCTGACCTCTGGACCCAGGGCACAGCCTGTAGAGCAGGGGCCGGGGGCTACTGCAACAAGGACAGATGCATGCATTTCATCCTGTGGGTGTCCCCGCCCCTCAGGCCACAGCCCCCGAGGGAAGGAGCGGCCTCCCTTTGACAGGCCTTTCCCATGTCACGCCTTCATGACAACCCACGCCCTGGGCCAAGACCCGGGGCATCCAGTGGACCGTCCAGCTCCTGCTGCTGGTCCTGCTGACCTGCACCATCCTCCTTCCACAAGCCAAAGCCAAGCTGGACTACGTGGAAGAGCACCAGCGCCTGCCCACCAACTCGGAGACGCTGGGCCTCGAGGTCTTCGGCATCCCCGGCGTGGGGCTCTTTGTGGCCGCGGCCAATCGGAAAGCCAAGTCCGCCGTCTACAAGTGGACGGATGGGAAGTTCGTCTCCTACCAGAACATCCCCACACACCAAGCCCAGTCCTGGCGGCACTTCACCATCGGGAGAGAGGCAAGTGCGCGCCCGGCCTCCCTCCCTGCAGCAGAGCAGCCTCAGCCTCCAGGCTCGGGGCTCCGAGCCTCTGCAGGGTGGCCTGGTTGGGTGGGGAAGGGCGCAGAGTCCCGCACTGGGCTGAGGTGTCTCCAGCTCCCCTCTGTCCTCTGGACCCAGGGCACAGCCTGTAGAGCAGGGGCCGGGGGCTGCTGCAGGAAGGGCAGATGCATGCATTTCATCCCGTGAGCCCCCGCAGGAAGGAGCGGCCTCCCTGCAGGACCAGCAGGACCAGCAGTGACAGGCCTTTCCCATGTCCACCTTCATGACAACCGATGCCCTGGACCCAGACCCGGGGTGTCCAGTTGGCCGTCAGCTCCTGAGCGGAAGGTGGCCCCTTCCCAGGCGCTGTCTGGCTCTGGGGATGGCCGTAGGCCGACTGAAAGCCCTGCCGAGGCACTTCCCCAGCCGGTCAGCGGCACTGTCACTGCAGAGGGAGAGGAGATCTGTGTTCTCACCCACAGACGTCGAGGACGCCTCAGGTCCAAATGGACAGTGAGGGCCAGGCCCAGGAGGCCAGGGGAGACCTCAGGGCAGGCAGCCCTTCCAGCCAGGCTGGACAGAGGGCAGGGTCTGGGCACGGTGGGCCTGAGGGCCTGGGTGCTGCTCTGGGTGCTACTCTTCCCAGCTCCTCACACCCCAGATGGCAGCTGGGCCCTCACCTGGACTCTGGGTCAGGCCGGACAGCACCCCTGGCCTCCTGCTGCTCACATCGCCCTGGGCCCAGCACATCCAAGGCCAGGACAGTGAATGAATAACTAGCTCTGTTTTCAATTGGTTGATGACATTTCAAAGGTTTCCAGTTTTTATGAGAAAAGTTAATAGGCTCACATCAGAGGACATTCAGACATCCAGAAAAATGGGGGAACACCTCGACCCGTCACCTGGGTAGAGATACGTTTGTCTGTCCACCTGCCCCTGCGCACCCTGTGCACTGGGAACAAGAGCTGCGCCCGCCTGCTGCCCTGCCGGGTCCCATGCCACACGAGGGAAGCCCAAGCAATGTGTGTCACGGCCAGCACCTGGCACACAGTCACACTGGACCCCTCCCTGCAGGCCGGGGACGGTGCTGTTGCACATGCAGTGCTTCCTGAATTGGGGGTTGGGTTGGTCTGTGGCCTTCAGATAGAGATAGACCTGCAAGTGATGGACGGAGGCAGGGGCGTGTTGGAGGAGACTGAAGCGCTGGCCACGGGCTCCCTCCCCACGGCAGCCCTAACAGAGGTGGGCTCCGCCTCAGGCCCCCAGGCCTGCTCCCCTGGATGCGGGGGAGATGCCGTGAGCCGAGGCTTCGCAGCAGACCCCAGAGCCTCGGGGGCTAGCTCTCCTGGCTCATCTCTTGCAGATCTTCCTGGCCGTGGCTAACTTTGGACCCAACGAGAAGGGTCAAGAGGTCTCTGTCATTTACAAATGGAGCCACAGAAAGCTGAAGTTCGCCCCGTACCAGAGGATTGCCACCCACAGCGCCCGCGACTGGGAGGCCTTCCAGGTGGACGGGGAGCACTTCCTGGCAGTGGCTAACCACCGGGAAGGTAGGCCAGGGCTGACCCAGAGTGGAGCCCTTCTATGGCGGAGCATGGCCTCGTGCAGGGCGCTCATTGAAAGAGGATGCCCGACCCGGCCTGGGCTCCACTACCTGGCTCGCCGTGTGCGGGAGGGTCTCCTGGGCACAGTGCTGCTCACCTGCCCAGGTGAGGAAGGGTCCTGCCTGGTCCCTGCCTGCAGAAGGCCCCATGAAATGCAGGGCTGTCCTCTGCCTTTCTCCCCTGGGGAGGGGTCGGCGGGTGCAGGAGAGCAGGTGGGACGCTGGACGGCAGGCCAGGGGCCGAGACAGGGGTGTTGGCTGGTGGGCGGGGTCGCGGCCACAGGAGGGAGGGGATGTGGACGTTGTCGTAGCTCTGGGCGCAGACTGCATGCAGTCTGGGGGTGGGTGGCAGCGTGGCCCGGGAGGGGCCAGCTTGTGCCTGAGCAGCTGTTCCCAGTCCTGAAACTCCACGGGGGGCGGGCGAGCTCCAAGGTGCCAGCCCACCCTACAGGGTGCCGCTGACCTGGGCCTCCCTGGGCTACACGCCTCAGCACTCACCTGGTCAGCCATCTCCAGCCTGGGGAGCAGCCCCAGCTCCTGGGCGCAGAGGAGCCCAGGAGTCCAGTAGCCCGTGTCCCCTGGGGTGAGTGCTCCAGCAGGGCAGGCTGGGAACTCCATGAGCGAGGGGCTCTGGGCAGGGGCAGCGTGGTGTGGGAAGGTCTGACCTGTGGGACAGGCGCTGTCCCCAGGCCCTGGAGGCCACAGTGGGCAGTGGAGCCTTCTGGAGAGTTCCTTCTGGGAACAACAGCCGTGAAGGCCTGGGGGGCTGGCACGGGACCTGATGGGCCCAGCAGGTGGAGACAGGAGAGCAGAGGTGGCCGTCCGTGCCCTGGCCAGAGCAGAGGGGTGCAGGGGCCTGGGCAGGTTTATGGGGAGGCCTGAGACCCACAAGTGGCCATGGGGCCGTGGGAGTCCTCTGCTCCCCAACGCTGACCCTGGTTCCAGGTGACAACCACAACATTGACAGCGTCATCTACAAGTGGAACCCCAGCACCCGGCTCTTCGAGGCCAACCAGACCATTGCCACGTCCGGAGCCTATGACTGGGAGTTCTTCACCGTGGGGCCCTACTCCTTCCTGGTGGTGGCCAACACCTTCAACGGCACCTCCACCAAGGTGCACTCGCACCTGTACATCTGGCTGGTTGGCTCCTTCCGGCTCTTCCAGTCCTTCCTGGTGAGCACCGTCAGCCCCACCGCTTCCCTGTCCACCACCAAGTCCCATCGGCAGCATGTGCCTGTTGGACCCGGGTGACGGGAGGGAGGGGCCCGAGGGGCCTACTGGTATGGCCCAGTGACAACCACACCAGCATGGCCCTGGACCCTCAGTCCTTGGACCCAGTGCCTCCCCTGCTGGACCGGCTCCTCCCCAGCTGAGGAGCCCCTGCCCACGCTGCCCTGTGTGGGGTCTCTGTGACAGAGCAGTGCAGGCACTCACAGGAGCCCCTCCCTGCCCTCCTGCCCAGGTCTGGTTCCTGTCTCCAGCCCTGGGGCAGCCGGGCAGCTTGCTCTGACCTGGGCGGCATGGGGACGGGATGGGGGCGGACGTGTTGCTTTTAGACTAGGTTGTCCCTTGGTGGCTCCTGTCCCCATGCTGGCAAGACCTCAGTGTGGAGCAGCAGCAAGCACTTGGCCAAGGCGGGAGGGGTCCTTCTCGGCGGCCCAGGAGGCAGCCGCAGCAGTGGAGGGCCGTGCTCGCTGGGACAAGTGGGACTGCCCAGGTGGAGGCAGACATGCTGGGCAGAGGGTGGTGACCATTAACATCAGGCTGCGTCTGAGCGGTGGCTGTGGCTAAGGGCAAAAATGTCCCCGCAGAATCCTGGCTGTGTTCCCAGAGGAGAGCAGGCCCAAGGGTAGGCGACGGTGCCTGAAAGAAGAGCAGGGCCAGGCAGGGCAGCAGTGCGCGTGAGAGCAGAAGGGCCTGAATGTGCTGAGCACGGGAGGTGTGGCTCTGCAGGGACGTTTCTGGAAGGCCCGGGAGCAGCTGGGGGCTGTGAGGAACTGTGCCTGCAGAGCTGGCGGGCCTCGGGCTCAGGGCAGGCATTCCCGGACTCTGTGGGTACCTTCAAAGGAAGCCAGGGCACCCGGGTCCTGCCGCCCAGGGCCGGGCGAGCAGCGGGAGGCTGTCCATCAGCCTGGAAGGCAGTTGGAGGGCGCACAGGTCAGCTCCTGGCTCCAGCCCCTGGGCATGCACCAGGAATTCTGGGACCTGCCTCCAGGGGGGGAGGTCCACCACCTGGGACCAACGGAGGAGCCAGCTCTGCTGGGAGATCCAGCCTCCGCTGCTGGCCTCTGCTGCCGCCTGAACAGGTCACTGGCCCTGGCCTAGGGCTTCCTCAGCCCATTTCTCGAGGTTACAACGGTGAATCGGGTGGGGCAATCCGGAAGCAAGGAGTTTAATCGGCACACGGTTTTGGAGGTTGAAGTCCATGAGCACAGGGCCTGCCCCTGCGAGGCCCCTGGCCAGGCCCTCGGGGGGAAAGCAGAAGGCAGGTGGTGCGTGCAGGACAAAGCGTCCACAGGACCTGTGACCACAGCAGTGGGGAAGCGGTGGTCCAGAGTGGAGCAGGACAGGGTGGGGACAGCAGGGCGTGCTAGCCAAGACCCAGCACTGTGGCCTGGACAGCTGCTGAGAGTGTGGATCAGGGTGAAGGGGCTGAGGCCAGCAGAGGAGGTCGGCCAGGAGCAGGAGGAGCCCCAGGGGAGCTGCACGGCAGGGAGGTACTGGAGGCGCCTGGGCTTGCTGGAAAAGCCCCCGGAGGGCACAGGGCCAGAAAGACAGAAAGGGGTTGAGATCCTGGCCTGGACTCGGCTCCCCTTCCTCGCTACCCAAGCACCCAGGGAGGGCAAGAGAGCACACGCGTTACCGTGCACCTGCTCGCACACTGGAGTGTGCATGCCCACGCGTCGGGGCTCCCCCAGCCTGGTGCTGCTGAGCGGGGACACTCCCTCTCGCCAGATCCCTGCTCTCTGCCTTCAGTGTCCCCATTTTACAGCATGGACCCCACGTGACCGGGCGTGACCTGGGCGTCCTCCGTTGTGCACAGTGCTCGGGCCCCTCTCAGAGTCAGGTCCGGAGTGACGTCATCCCACAGGTGGGGCTCACACCTGCAGTTCTCCACATCAACCGTGAAACCCACAGCGAGACTGCAGAACCCAGAGGGAGCAGGCCCATGCCCGCCTGCCCCCTCACCCACTGGAGGGGCCGCAGCACCCCATGATCAAAACCAGTGTGCTCTGCAGCCAGCACCCTGCCTGGACCTGCAAAGGACACGCAGAGGCCACTGAGCCTCACGTCCATGCAGGGCTCTGGCTGAGTGGACGTGCTGCGAACTCACGTCCAGCAGCCTATAGGCTCATCTCTTGGGCACTGTGGCCCAGAGCATGTGGGGTCATGGCAGGGACAGTGGCAGCCACCAGGTCAGCAGGCCCCGCTTGTCACTAACATGCCCTGGGGCTGCTGCATGATTCCCGAAGGCCAGGAGCATGGCTCCCCATGCACACATGCACGTGAGCACGCTGTGCACGCACACACATGCACACACACAGTTGTGGTAGGGCAGAGGCAACATGGCAGAGTGCAGGGTGCAGCTTTGAGAACAGGCAGCCCTGCCCGACTAGGTGGGCTGGGAGCCAGCATGCTCCCCCAGTGGCCTGGGCCGTGTGCAGCCTCTCTGCATTCTGTCTGCACAGCAGGCGTGGTGGACTGACCAGGCTGGGAGGGCCTTGGAGGGGCCTTGGGGGGGCCTTGGGAGCTGTGGTGATGTGGGCAGGAGGGCTCTGTGAAGGCAGCAGCCACACCCCGTAGCTCTGTCCTCACTGAGACAGGAGCTGGCGTGGTCAGGCAGCTCAGGGAAGGTCCCAGTTGGGGGGCGAGGGTGGCAGGGGCCTCACACCTGCTGTGTCGACGGGCGCGGCCCCATCCTTACTTGTGAGAAGAGCCCTGGAAGCTGCCCGGGAGGAAGATCCTCTGCAGCCACGACTGGACAGCAGAGGCCGGGACCTGGCTCAGGGACGCCCCGTGGTCTCGTCCACCCTCCACATCCCATCAGGGCACCCGGGTCCACTTGAGTTCCAGATGAAACACTAGTGATGTTTTCCGTGAAAGTGTGTCCCGAGCTCCTCGTGGAAAGCTGTTACCTCCACTCTGCTCCCGTGGGCGTCTGTATTTGCTGACTCAGGCGTTGGCCCTCGCTGGGACCTGAGCCGCCTCTGAGCCCCGCTCGCTGGGCAGGCAGAAGCTCCATCCCCCCAGGCAGAGGCTGTGCCAGGTTCTCCAAGGATCTCGTGAGCCCTGGGGTGGACGCAGCCCGACCCACCGTACCTCGCCCTCCCTCCTGGCCCCTGTGGGCCTCAGAGCCGCCGACACACAGCCGACCTCGCGGTCTCCCTCTCAGCAGCGTCCCGCCTTCCCCGTGCCCTTGGTGTCGAAGCCAGGCCCTCTCCAGGCACCAGATACCTCCCAAGCAGCCCACCCCTGCTTTGCTCGCCCCACGGGCCTGTGCCCTGGGCCCTGCATGTCCTGCTGTCCCTGCAGCCGGCTGCCCTTCTCTGCCTCGCTACCCAGCGACTCCCTCTCCTTCCACACATGCACGACTCTCCTGTGTCCCCGAGTCCAGGCAGTCTCCCATGTCCCCACGTGCAGGCCACCACTCTAGGCTCTTTGGGGGCAGAGAGGCCTCCTCACCCATCCCTGAGGCTCTGCCCCTGGCCTGGCCCCAGCACCCACTGGGCACTCCTCAGGCCGCGCCAGGGGAGGCCGCTCAGGTCATCCACCCACCCTTAGGGCAAGAGAGCAGCCACCGCAGGGCTCGTCCCCTGGAACCCGCACCGGACCTACCTCAGCACAGGCGAGCGGGAGCCAGCACCCCAGAAGGGAGACATGGGGACGAGTGTGCTTGAGTGTGCAGGTGTGCACGTGTGTGTCAAGCACCCATGTGCCTGTTTGTGCATGTCTCTGTGTGTGCATGTAGACACAGGCACGTTACACACATGCACATGTGTGTCCAGGGGCCGACCTGCGCCTACACGCAGGTGTGCACACACATGCCTGCACGTGGGTCACAAGCCTGCAGCTGTGTGCATCATCACACGTGTGCACGTGTGTGCAGGTGTGGGCACAGGGATGCACAGGTGCGTGTGCAGGGATGTGTGCAGCTGTGCACAAGTGTGTGGCTGGGCTCCAGTGTGGTTCCCTCGGGCTTGCAGGGAGCCCAGGGCTGGGCGGTCTGTTCTGCTGCGTCAGACCTGGGCTGCCACTTGGGTGGCCTGGGGTGTTCCCAGCAGGTAGGATGCACTAACCCAGGAGATATCTCTGTGGAGGGTTCAGTAACCACCAGGGGTCCTGGTCCCCTTGTCCTTGTCCTGGTGAGTCTCACTTGGTGCTTCCTCCCACGGTCCCCCAGGGCCCAGCCGCAGGGGCTTGGGCACTGGCGCCCTCTACTGCCCATGCCTTTCTGTTCAACCCAGAGTTATCTTTTCCTAGGTGCCAAGTGATGCAGCCAGCCAGGCTGAGGGACAGGGGACCAGAGGACACTGGGCAGCACCATCTGGCTTTGTGGGATGGAAAGGTTAACTGATTTGGGTGGATAACAGGGTAAAAGGACCTGGGGGTCAGAGAGAGCATCCGTCTGCTGCAGGGCTCCTGAGCTGCTTTCCCGGGGCTGGGTGAGACCAGATGGCCTCAGCAGGAGGTTCTGGGCATGGGCTGGGGCCAGCGAGAGACAATGTGGCCTGTGCGAAGCACCGTCCCACAGACGACCCAACTGTCCCCGCAGGGACTACCTGGGACAGCCCCATGACCTGACGCGTGCAGTGCAGTGTCCCCAGGGAAACAGCCAGACCCTGAGCCTGGAGAAGTAGTGGGTCTCCCACTGAGTGCTGTGGGCATCCCTGACCCCAGGCTCAGCTCTTCCTCTTTACAGTGGGGATCCGGGGGGGCCTGGCCCTCATGACATGCTGGGGGAAGGGACACCACCTAACATAGCAGTCCCCCTGCCCCACAGGGCACAGGGCACAAGCTCTCAGACACGGAGACAGGTTGCAGCCCTCAGCCCCCCGTGGCAGTTACAGAGCCAAGAAACGTGCCCCAAACCCGACCTGAGATACCCCCAATGGGCATGCTTGTGCCTGGAAGCAGGCGCAGGACACAGTTCTCGGGATCCGTCTATCCCCTTCCAACTTTTCGGGCAGCTGGAAAATTTGAAAGCTCCCATTTGTGTCAGTCTGGCTTCCCTGAGAGACAACCCAGGAGACTGTAGAGAGAAGAGGGGAGGTGGTGTAGGGTGGGCTCACACCATCCTGGGGCTTGGGAAGTCCCCCCATCTGCTGACTGCGAGCCCGAGGCCCAGGAGAGCCTGTGTGCAGCTCAGTCCAAACCCGAGGCAGACCAGACAGCTGCTGTGAGAGTCCCCTTGCAAAGGCCGGAGAACCCAGAGGACTGGCACCGAGAGCAGGAGGTGGACGTCCAGCTGGGGCGGAGTGAATCTCCCCTCTGCCCTCTGTTCTGCCCTGCCCCGCGGGGCCAGAGGAAGCCACTCAGGTCAGCAGGGTCAGGTTTGCTCTCGGTCCACGTTCAAGGGCACTGGCAGGAAGTGTGCCAGCCCACCTGACAGACGGTCAGCACCACCCCGGGGAACCACGGCGCCCCCACCGCCCCCCCATCCACTTGATCCTGGTGGGTGTGGGACCCTGACCACCCAGGCCTGGGGCCAGTTGAAATGGTGCCTCGTCCAGGCTGCAGCCTGGGCAGCGGCGGGGACGTCAGGCAGAGCAGGGCCTGTCCTGGGAGGCCAGGCGCGTGGCAGGAGCATCCTTTCCCCAGAACACGATGCAGCGTGGTCTGAGCGTCCAGCCCGATCATCCCAGCGGGTGTGCGTACCCACGAACCCCCGGCACCCGGCGCCCCTGCGGCCCCTCTCCCCGCCCGGCAGTCCTGCTGATCCCAGGCGCCCCTGCGGCCCCTCTCCCCGCCCAGCAGTCCTGCTGATCCCAACCCACAGCCGTTCTGGAGGCTGCACTCAGTGGCCTTGCAGGGGTCTCGGGCGCTGCCCAGCCTCCCCCGGCGGCTTCCCGCGCTCACCTCCAGGGAGCTGCCAGGTGCGTTCTCACCCAGCTCTCTGCGCCACGGTCCTGTCCTTGGAGGTGAAAGCCCAGCAGTGGGGCTCGGGGTCAGAACCCCCTGGTGGCTCCACCGACCCTGGGGAGAGCTGGCCGCTGCGTCCTTCCCAGCGTTGGCCTCGCGGGCGGGCGGTCGCCAGAGAGCCTGGGGCGGCGTTTGGGCTGCACTTACCTGGTGACACCGATTCTGAGCAGATTTTTGTGTGCTGTCCCTCTGAGGTTTTTTGTCCCCACTTAACCCTGTCCTGCCTCTCCTTGATGACGGTGAGGGTTCCTGGTGTCGTGGAGACAGCCCCGTGTCACACGCGTGCTTTCCCGCCCGCCTTCTCTTCCCCGTCTCGGTTTAGTGGCTACAATGTCACCATGCCACGTCATGAGCCGTGCAGCGCCTACCAGTGACATTTCCCCCGTCCACTGTGCTGTGTGTCCTCTGAGGTCGCAGGCGCCACACTGGCCAGACAGTCCCCTCGAGCAGCGAGGGCCTTTCTCTCGCGCCAACACCCCCGGTGCTCTCTCCCGCCTTTTCCAAGACTCCAGTCTCCCCTGGTGTCACTTTTCCTCAACACAGTGATTCCCTCAGTGTCCCTGCGGGTCAGGTCTGCTGCGGTCAGTCTGTGCCCTCATCTGAAAAGCTCTGGTCTCCCCATCTCTGAGGTGCAGAATTCCAGGTCCTCGCTTTATCCTCAGTCACCCTGATGACATCATCCTGCTGCCTCGCGCTCCAGAGACCCCCGTGGGGAGCCGGCCCCTGGAGCCCCGCGTCCCCCGTGGGGAGCCGGCCCCTGGAGCCCCGCGTCCCCCGTGGGGAGCCGGCCCCTGGAGCTCTGTGTCCTGAGCGGGTGGCACAGGGCTTTTGTTTCCCTTCTGCTCAGGGTCCCTGCTCGGCCTCGGCCATCACTTTCTGTATTTTCTGTCCCTCTCCTGTCCTCCTCATTGGGTGACTCTGGCACTGCACACCACAGCGGGCGCCGGGCCTGGCCTTTCTCTCCTGTGCTGGTCAGTGCTCTGGACCATCTGTGATTGGCTCCCTCTCCATGCAGTTGTCAGGGCGGCGCTGGCCCTACAGGAGGTGTGGGACTGCAGTGCCCAGTCCTCCCGTCGCAGGACTTCCAGGGCCCTTCTCAGAGCCTCCGCAGCCCTGGGCGTTTGTCTTGTTCCCACCACGTCCTCCCTGTGGAACACAGGCCTCTCCACCAGGACCAGAAAGGGGGTGAAAGGGAAAAAGCCACAGTTTCAGTCTCAGCGAAGCCTGCACTTCCCGCCCTCCCAGCCCCTGGCACAGAGGCCCAGCCACACTCACCTTCTGCCACGTTCCTGCCCATCCCCACCCCTGTGCCACCCTCCTGGCCATGCCCGACAGGGCACTACCTGCTGTGCCTCTGGCCCTCCCTCTGAGGGCTCGGACCCTGGTGGGGCTCCTCGGGCCCCCCCTCTCTGCACCACCCCTTATCCACACACCCTTCTCATGGGCCGCGTGGAACCGACTCCGGCAAAGACCTGGCTCCCCTCCCCCTCCCCCTCGAGGGGACAAGTGACATGGGGCAGCACAGAGACAGCAGGCTCTGTCTGTAGGGTCAGCAGAATTCCATACACACCCCCGACCGGGGACAGGAAGCTCAGGTGTCAGGAGGGACTAGAGGGATGGGAGCCCTGCCTGGGGAAGGGGGTGGGGGCCTCGGGGTGGGGTGCACCTGCCCGGGGTCCATGCAGGAGTGGCCTCGAGGCTGCCACCTAGGGACACCTGCGAGTGGCACTGGGCATGGTGGTTGGCTTGCTGGGGTCTGTCTGGGCAGTGCCCAGGCTCACTGGCCCTGCTGTGCTGGCCGCTGCTCTGTGCTAGACCCTCGGGGCTGCGGACTGGGAAGTCTTCCGCATCGGGGACAGGCTCTTCCTCGCCGTCGCCAACAGTCACAGCTACGACGTGGGAATGCAGCTGCGCAACGATTCCTACACCATCAACTCCGTCATCTACGAGCTGAACGTCACCGCCCAGGCCTTTGTCAAGTTCCAGGACATCCCCACCTGCAGGTACTGGCGGGCTCACTGCACTCTGCTTGGGCACTGGCTGCAGCAGGCCACCATGCTGGGCCTGGCATCCGTTCCAAGGCCGACACTGCACGGAGCGCAATTTCTCTGCACGTTTGTGGTTTTGCCGTGTGTGGAGGAGCCCGGGGCAGGTCTGTGCCCCTCTGGGGAGGAGGTAGCGGTACCTCCACGAGGAGCTGTGGCTGGTCTGCTTGCCACAAGCAGGAGGCCCCAGGCCGCTGCAGTGGCTCCTGAAGCTGCCCCTCTAGCCAGGACGGCAGGTGCCCTCCCCCGTGGCAGGAGACAGAGGCTTGTTGAGGCAGGAGTGAGGCTGGCGGTGTGGACGGGGTCAGTGTGGCCACCTGGTGCTGGGCCCAGTCCAGCTTGCTCTGCAGGGCACTGAGGCCTGCGCAGTGCCCCCTGCGGCCCCAGAGCTGAGCAGCTGTAGCCATCCCAGGCTTGACCTGGGGAGGGACTTCTAAGTCTTGCTTGAAAATGTGGCTGAGTCTGCATCGTTCAGACCCCAGAACAGAGAGCTTCGTCCGTCACGTTTAAAACCAGAACCCGGCCCGTGTCGGCCCCAGAGGGAGCAGGGCCTCCCCAGCTTTCCCCAACGTTTGAGTCCTTCAGGGAACCTCTCAGGCCCCTCCTGAGGCCAGCCTGTCCCACCCTGGAGACAGCGAGCACATTTAGGAAAGGGAATACAGGACCCGCTCTTCGGAGGAAGACAAGCGGGGTGCCATGGGGTCCTGGGATCCAGCGCCAGCCACCAGCTCGGCGACCATGCATCAAGGTGGAAACAGAGTGTGCGGAAGGGACACCCCAGGCCACTGACAGTGTCGCTCCCAGAAACAGGCAGGCACAGAAGGACTCTCCCTTTATGCCCACCACCTTCGATCGTTGGTTTACAAGGTGCGCAATGTCACCTTACTGATGGGTCAAGTATGTTTTAATGAAAACAGAAACCGATCCTCAGAATAGAATAAGAACTAGTGGTGGCACCTGGTTCAGAGCCAGGAAGGAGCTGCCTGTGGCCTCCTGGGTCACCCTGGCTCCAGCAGCAGAGCAGGGCCCAGGAGCCACACCTCTGTGCCTGGAAGCCATGCTGTCCATCCAGGCCTCCTGCTGAGAGTGAGGTTCAGAGCCACGCACACCTTAGACACTTGGGGTGGCGTTTAGAGTGAAGCCAGCGTGGGAAGGAGTGGCAGCAGGAATGGGTCAGTGGGCGAGGTGGTCACGCATGGCCACGCCAGGCAGCCTCGGCTCCGGGCGCCCGGTCTCAGCCTCCCTCACCCCCACTGTCTCCGCAGCGCCCTGGACTGGGAGTTCTTCTCCGTGGGAGAAGATCACTTCCTGGTGGTCGCCAACTCCTTCGATGGAGAATCATTCTCAGTGAACAGTATTATCTACAGGTAAGGGCCAGCCGAGGCCAGCCTCCTCCTCCCCACTCGCCTCCCCCTGCAGACGGCCACCAGCTCAGCAGGGCCAGGCCAGGGGAGTGTTTCCCAGGTCTCCGTTGGCCAGTGCCTCAACCAGTGCTGGGCCGTGCCTGCTGGGAGCCGGCTGGGCCACGGCCCGATGCGGACTGACTGCTGGAGGTGCAGCCGGTGGGCTGCTGGTGGGAGTTCCTGGAGTCCAGCTTTCCTCTGGCAGACTCCAGGGCGGAACTGTTCCGTGTCTTCTAGGTGTTTTCACGGATTTAAGTATAATGAGTGGGGACTGTGTCACTCCCAGATGCTTAGCAGTGTTTGTGACCATCACTGACCACGTCATCAGTCCCAGCGTTTCTCTTAAGAGGACTAGGAGATACGATCACATCGGGGAAGAAGGGCTCCCCTGCCCTTGGATTCTCAGGCTTCTATGGCTTATTTGGTATTCTTAACTAGTAGAGCGTTCCAGAACGTTCCAGAACGGTCCTGTAGCAGCAGTAGTGGTCAGCAGTCCTGCCCCCACCTCACGGCCATCGGCCACCGACAGGATGCTGCCTTGGGCAGCTCTGAGCCGCTGGCTCCTTGGGGTTGGTTCTGCTGCTCTGTTCAGGTGACAGTGTACGAAGCAGAGCTCCCCGTGTCTCTGTGACTAGTGCCACTGGAGTGGGTGTCACCCTGCGTCACCTTCCCTGGGTCCCAGGTGCTGTATCTAAGCTTTCTGCATCCAGAATAGGAAACGCGATGGGCTGTGGTCTCCCTGGGGACTCCCCTTATCCAGTGAGTCGCGAGCACCACACACAGACGCACCGCCGCGGGCGCTGCACGGGGCCAGGGTCGTCTGAAGAACACGCTTCTCTGTGTTTCATGAGGACCTTAAACTGGTCAGGTGGCTCCCAGGCCTGGCACCTTTCCATGGTGTCCCAGAGACTCCCCAGGCTCCCTGCTGTTGGCCTGTCCAGGCTCCACCTCTCTCCAAATGGGGGTCATCTGTGCTTCACAGGGAAAAAATCATCAGTTTTCTCAGAATTTCAAACTTACTGCAGTAGACTGTCCACACAATCAAGCGATCTGACAATGCATGTGGAAGAAAAAGGTTTTAGAGACGGCCAAGGAATTTCTGAAAAAGAGCAGTGCAGGAGGGAACCACAGGGGTGGACAGGGTGGTCCTGGCTAAAAATGGACACCTGATGGGGGGCTGGGGGGCTCGGGGGCGCCTGCCTCCCGGCCTGAGCCCCCTGCATCCCTGCACCACCACATCAGTGGGGAGGACGTAAAAAGGGGTGCGGAGGTCACAGTCCAGAGGGCCCATGGTTTGTCGTCCCTTAGTGTGACCTTGTTCAGCAGAAGGAAGGGCACGCTGTTCTGTTTGGTTTGGGTTCTGCAGATTGAACCCAGGGGCCTTAACTGCTGAGCCCCATCCCCAGCCCTTTTCTATACTTTTTATCTAGAGACAGGGTCTCACTGAGTTGCTTAGGGCCTGGCTGTTGCTGTGATCCTCCTGCCTCAGCCTCCCGGGCTGCTGGGATGACAGGCGTGACCACGGCGCCCAGCCGGATGCATGGTTTAATAAAATGATTCTGTGTCATTCTCCATCCATCTGGCAGAAGACAAAGCTAACCCTAGTTCCTACCCATAAACAAAAACAAATCTTAGGTGAATTAAACATCCAAGTGTAAAAATTCAGCCAGAAAATGTAAGGCTTGGCCCAGCCGCCAAGTGAGGGAAGGGGCAGCTGGCGGCCCACACACAGAGCTCCTGTGGGAGAGACCACCGGGGGCCAGGACGGAGCCGACCCGCAGACCTGGAGGAAGCGTGAGGAGAAAGGGTTAGACTCGGGGACGCAGGGTGAGCAGCGACTCGGATGACGGGGACCTGAGTGAGCCTGTGGGCAGTGGCCTGCTCTCAGACGTGACCCCGTGCATTTACGAGAAGTGATCCAGGAAAACATCGAGACTGAAGCCACACGTGCCCTTGACCCAGGAGCCCACCTGGGACGCCATCCTGCGGGACGAGGCCACCTGTGCACAGGCACATCCCCGTGAGGGCCTTGCTGGGGCCTGCTCACGCCTGGGCGGGCGCTGCCTGGCCGGGGCTGCGGGCAGGGCTCCCAGGGCCTGGAGCATGGGCAGTGCAGTGTGGGGTGTCTCGGGGCCTGTGGGGGCAGCCCGCACCCCACTGCCAAGGTGACCCCAGCTGCACGCCTTGGAGCGGCCAGGATTCCTGACTGTCCTCCGCAGGTGTCAGGGTGCGTGGGGCAGGGTCCTGGGGGGTAGGAGGGAGCTGTGGGATGCTCTAGGGACCGCGTCCCCTCTGGGCCTCAGTTTCCCACTTTCTCAGGATGAGAACCTCCCCCCCCACCCCTCCCAGGAGCCCTCCGGGTTCAGCAGGGGCTTGTCACCCCACACGTGGCCGGGGAGCTGGGGGACTAGAGCCCGTCTGCAGGCGAGCTGGTGACCGGGTGGTTAGGAGCGTGGGGCAGGAGGCTGCCGCCCTCCCAGAGCAGCCCACCCACACGGGCCAGGCTGACGCCGTCCCCCCACAGGTGGCAGGGCTACGAGGGCTTCGTGGCCGTGCACAGCCTCCCCACCTTCGGCTGCAGGGACTGGGAGACCTTCGACACCTCGGCCGGCTCCTACCTCATCTACTCCAGCGCCAAGGAGCCCCTGTCCAGGGTCCTGCGGCTGAGGACCACCTGAAGGACGGCGTCCAGAGCAGGGTGGCCGGCAGCCCAGGCAGCTGGCTGGCGGCAGGCGGGACGTGGCCCCTGTGTACCTCTCTGAGCAGGGCTCTCCACGTGGCAGGTGGCCCTGCAGAGCTGCATTCCTGGTGACCACGGCCATGTTCCAGATGACCAGGCGTCCTTCAGGCTAAGGCCCAGGGCTGTCCCCTGGTCTCCCAGCCTGGTCCAGCAGGGATTCTGCCATAAAGGAACAATTACCAAGTTTTACCTCAGACACAGCAGGGCCCCTGTGCGTCCCTGGCCTCGGCCTCCCCTGTGGGTCCCTGGCCTCCGGACAGTCCCCCGTGCAGCCCGCCCTCGCGTGCACCGGGAGGGACACCTATTTATTGTGTTGTGATTGTGGAATATATTTATATGGCTCTTTACAGAAAGCGCGGCGGTGTCTCTGTGCTTCTTTCGGGGACCCGACTCTCAGCAGTGGGGCCCAGGCACAGCCCTTGGTCACCAGAGCAGGCAGACTGCCCCTTCCCCAGGGAGCCCTGCCCCCAGCCCTGGTTTACCCACAAGGGCATCGGGCTCACCCGAGCTCAGAATCCCAAGCCCACGCCGGCTGGTGTCCCTCCCGTCCCCAGGCCCCCACCGTGGAGACGGGAGAGCCTTCCTGGCTGCACCCCAGGCCACCACCCCCTCGTCCCCCAGGGGCCAGTGTTCCGCAGATGGCCTCAGAGGCCTCCCTGGGCTAGGGCTGGCTCACTCCTTCCCACACTAACGCCCCAACCCTCTTCCGGCATGGAGACCTTCTACCTCCCTGGATGGCCATGGAGCGGGACGTAACCCACCCTGGAGCCGCGAGGAGGCCAGCAGGAAGGGGATTGCCACAAGGCAGGCCCCTGGGTTTGGAAGTGCTCCAGCCAGACCTTGGAGGGGAGGCCCCTTGGCCCACACAGTGGAGACACAGGTCCTGGGAGGGGGAAAGGGGTGGAGACGCAGGTCCTGGGAGGGGGAAAGGGGTGGAGACGCAGGTCCTGGGAGGGGGAAAGGGGTGGAGACGCAGGTCCTGGGAGGGGGAAAGGGGTGGGGACGCAGGTCCTGGGAGGGGGAAAGGGGTGGGGATGCAGGTCCTGGGAGGGGAAGGACGCAGCAGTGCAGGGAGGGGCGGCTCGGGCGTGCCAGGCAGCCCTGTCCTCACCAGCCTGCCCAGAGCAGACACCCAGGGGCCCTGCGACGGGGTGACAGGGCTGTGACGGGGGTGCTCAGGGCCACGCTCCAGGGCCACGCTTCCCGATGGTCTTGGAATGAGGGGAGTTTGTTGGCTTGAATTTCCAGGCAGGTTCCTGGTGTTTCTCTATTATCATTCTCTGAATCTGAACATTCTGGTTCAATACCAAGACCTGATGGGAGAGACACCTGACAACTCAGAAATCGCACTCGCTCCAGGAAACCTCCTCACAGTCTCTCCACACACAGAAGCCAGGAGCCAGGACCCAGGTGTGATCCGAGAACCAGATTAAACCTGCGAAACCGTTTAGCCCCTTAGAACAGGCCATGAGGGCCCTGCAGGAGGGAGGTCCAGGAGCTGTTATAGAGACTGACTCCAGAAGCAGGAGGAAGCCAGAAAGGCCGCCAGCACACATGGAGGGAAGGGCCATCCCAGCGGTCAGCGTCCCTGGAGGAAATGACCTGGCACCGAAACCCAAATCATTCTCACGGGACATCCACAAATCCACAGCCATTTCCATCTACACGCACATATGCAGAAGGCTCAGTGAAAAAAATCCCGATTACCTTCATGAAGGAAAATGGCACATGACAAGCTGGGCAGGTCAGGCATTCGGTGGTCAGTGGAGTTGTTGACACCGAACACCTGTCACACCTCAGAGGGACAGGGGGGCCATAATCACCACCCTGTTACTCACACAGAGGGGCTGGGGGCCAACATCACCACCCTGTCACTCACACAGAGGGGCTGGGG